AAATTTTGTGCGAAATGACATCTTCCCTTCTCTGGACGCTTATAAAGCTGTTTATATCGAGATATTTTACTCCTATTGCATTACATATTCAACCGGAAGGGACGTAAGTGGTCCCGATTATTATTCAATTGAAAATCATAAGGCACTTTTTATCCCATGATTCATCGTTATTTTTATACGGTGTACGAGATGTTGTAGAAATCATGGACAGAACGCAGTGGATTGGCTTGTGACCGAGGGGTCTGAGCTGTGTTTAAGCATACGATTTTAAAACCTTCCTTTACGATAAGGATATCTGCGTTATTTTGCCTCAAGCTATCTACTCAGTTTGATCTTTCATTCAGTTGCTTGTCTGCTCACATAGATGCCGTGGATGCACGATGGATTCAAAGCACGCGCAGCTGTCGACAGCGCTATGTATGCGACCATTCTTGTGACCCTGGTGCGGGCCACGCGTGCATTTGTCAACGGGGCTACCGACCGGCTGGACCTGAGGATCGGTCGCGCCTCATTGGTTACGGTTTGTACCTTCATATCTTATGCCTTTGTTTTTATGCTGGTGTAGCTGTTTAGGTCTTTTCCTTATGCCCTTCATTCGTTTACCCGGTTGTGAATCGTGGCACATCATTAATGTAAACTCTTCAGTTCCTGGTGTCTTTGCCATTTACATGAGGCTCCGCGTAACATTTACCCTAATTCATTTTATTCTTAGGCTAGGTGTCGGAAACGGGCTTGGTCACCGGTGCACAATATATTTTTAGATGTGGATTATTCCCTATCCAACCAATTACAGTGAGATGGTTGTTTTACTGACTGTGAATGCGGCCTACCGAACCCAATTTCATCCTCAAAATTATTGAATGCGTGGGCTATGGCACTGAGAACAACGTTTCTTTCGCTCGTTTCGGGGTGGCATCCAAGTAGCCGGGCATAAAGGAGAGCAAAAAACCAACCCATCCTAGTGTTATAAAACCGCTTTCTTGCAATTTACCAGAATTGGCTGTCTTCTGGCACAGTGCTAGCTAGGCATCTGGCGCCCAAATTGCAGGGCGAGAAATAGCGTCCCATCATGCATTATTTGCTCACACAAATATAGAAAATGTAGATTGGCATGCCTTCAAAATAAATTTGTAAATCTGCATTGAGGGTTGCACAGATTATGCACCATTAGTTTCGCTCCTCTCACAACTCCTCAATTGTCCAACCTTATAGGCAGCGGAGCAGCAGACGGTATTAAAGGTCAAGGTCGGGTCTGCTTGGACGTCGATGAATGCGAAGATGCTACAGTTCGCGCTGAATGTACGCAACGTGGCGGAGTTTGTACGAACCGTCCAGGAGATCATCAATGCCTCTGTCCTTCGGGCCGCACATGCCTTCGTGAGTTCAAGAAAATTGCATGCGGCTCGGCGTCATATCACATTCCAGTTGTCTTTATCAGATGTGGCACTTTATTCTCCAACTGTGATGTTTTAGTCGGCTCGATGTTTAACCACCAGTGAATGTATGGAGATTTTTTGTATGATTAGATTTTAAAGAACTTTCTGCTCACTTCATTTGCTTTTCGACTATTTGTT